ACCACACCCTGTGGGTTTTTTTTCCCCATTTTAGCACTCACCACACTTTCCAATTATATATTAATCTGTGTGTTTTCTTGTTTAATGCATATATCAATTATTAGGTTGCAAGCTCAGTAAATACAAGAATCACTTTTTTCTTTTTATTTTCTATAAAACTACTGTTTATTTAGCATAGTGTTGTGCACACGGTGGTTAAGTAACTGAGTACTTTGATAGTCTATATTTATACTGTAGCCACTAGCCATGTGATACTACTTACTTATTTTTATTATTTTAAGTTTTTATTTTAGTTCCACTTAAAACTGTATGGAGGTTCCTCAAAAAGTTGAAAATAGAGCTACCATATGATCCAGCAATTGCACTACTGGGTATTTACCCCAAAGATACAAAAGTAGGGATCCGAAGGGGTACGTGCACCCCGATGTTTATAGCAGCAATGTCCACAATAGCCAAACTGTGGAAAGAGCCAAGATGTCCATCCACAGATGAATGGATAAAGAAGATGTGGTATATATATATATATATATATATGTATATATATATATATATATTTATATTTATATATATATACACACATACGATGGAATATTATGCAGCCATCAAAAGGAATGAGATCTTGCCATTTGCAACGACGTGGATGGCACTGGAGGGTTTTATGTTGAGTGAAATAAGTCAAACAGAGAAAGACATGTATCATATGATCTCACTGATATGAGGAACTCTTAATTGCAGGAAACAAACTGAGGGTTGCTGGAGTGGGGGGTGGGGTGGGAGGGATGGAGTGACTGGGTGATAGACACTGGGGAGGGTATGTGCTCTGGTAAGCGCTGTGAATTGTGCAAGACTGTTGAATCTCAGATCTGTACCTCTGAAACAAATAATGCAATATATGTTAAGAAAAAAAAAAGAAGAAGAAGAAGGTAGTGGGAGGGGAAGAATGAAGCAGGGGAAATCGGAGGGGTAGACGAACCATGAGATGATGGACTCTGAAAAACAAACAGGGTTCTGGAGGGGAGGGGGGTGGGAGGATGGGTTAGCCTGGTGATGGGTATTGAGGAGGGCACATTCTGCATGGAGCACTGGGTGTTATGCACAAACAATGAATCATGGAACACTTCATCTAAAACTAATGATGTAATGTATGGGGATTAACATAAGAAAAAAAAAAAGAATACTATTTTAGTTCCAGTTAGTTAACAATACACATGATACTATTTAAATTAAAATTCGTTAAAATTAAATAACATTAAAAATTCAGTTCCTCTGTCATACTAATCAAATGTTAAGACTAATAGCTACATGGCTCTATGTTGGAAAGTGTGCATATGGAACATTCCTATCATCACATAAAGTTCTATTGGACAGACTAGTCCAAAGTAAGCAATCAATAAAGGAGTAGTAATAAATTAAGGACTTACTAGACATCTACATCTAGATTCTATGCATTCTATTCTATTCATTCCTATTTTCTTTAAGGAGCCACCTAACAGGTCCCTAGTCACAAATATTTCTCAATCCAGATGGTTCCTTAACTTATTGCTAAGTATATCTACCCATCAAGTCACTTCTTTTCTAAAAAACATTGATAACTTCTCATTGCCTACAGGATAGAGTTTGAACTCCTTAATATGGAAACAAGACTTCTTATCTTCCAATTTATCACCCCAATCTCGAATGACATTGCCCCCCACATACGCCCCTCCAGTTCCACTTACAAGACTTCACCTTTCTGTAAACCAAATATACTGTCACAATGCTGCCTGAAAGGGCTATCTTTTCCTTTCCTTGATGTAGTCCTCCTCCCTCTGTAGGACTCAATTTTTGAGCTTCGCCAAATATGCAGCATTCTCAGCTCTTACCTCTGTCACATTATATTGTGATTATCTGTTTATATCTCTATTTCCGTCACTGTATTATGAGATTTCAAAGAAAAGGGACAGTGGTTTACTTACCTCCCAGTGTCCAGTATATTGCATTTTTTTTTTTTTTTTTTTTTAAGATTTTTATTTATTTATTTGAGACAGAATGAGAGAGAGAGAGCACATGAGAGGGGGGAGGGTCAGAGGCAGAAGCAGGCTCCCTGCCGAGCAGGGAGCCTGATGCGGGACTCGATCCTGGGACTCCAGGATCATGACCTGAGCCGAAGGCAGTCGCTTAACCAACTGAGCCACCCAGGCGTCCCAGTATATTGCATTTTGTACAGAACTTATATATTTTGTTATTATTGAAATAATGAAATGATATAATAGTGAGTAGTTACAGAATTGAAAAGACTCACTCTTATTCTATAAACAATTCTTTACTAATTTTTGTGAATTTTTACCTATTTCAAAAACCTTCTCCCCACCAATCACGATACACTACTCAGTCAAATAGTATTATCTTTGACAGGTCAATAAAATGGCTTTTACTTTAGTTTAGTAGCTGAAGATATAGGGAACTCTTAAATTGTCAGCAGTTTGGGGGCTGAAGCTCATCAATTACAAATGGAAACAAATAAAAACAGCAAAACCAGAATATTTCTAAGCAAATGAGCCTGTAGGAATATCCTGGTGGAATAAAGACTATAAAGGACTCCCACATTACGAAAAAGTTTTGTAAACTCAGTAAAGTGTACACAGTTCACTCTTAATCTTCTCTAACATAATCTCTCACTTCTTGGATACTATGCTTATATCTATCGAACTCAATTTTGTTTCATAGCATAGACATACATTTGTTATTATTTCTTGAAAAATGAAAAACAATATTATAATAATCCCAGGGGGGTTAAAAAAAAAAAAAACAACAGAGAGGAGTATGTTCTGAATAATGTCAGAAGAACATTTTTATGTGAAAATAATATATAACAGCAACAATGATGATGCTGAACAGTTGTTTTTTTAATTAAAATTGTTATTGTTTTGACATATTTTTTAAAAGATTTCAAGTCATTTTAAATCTTGTCAGTGAAATTTCCACTTATATGTGCTCACTTTTTGCCACACTTTAATCCTAAATTATTAAGTAAAGTTCAAAACTGTCAGGGCATGCTGCGATTAAGAAATTTTAAAGATGTATGCAGAATCAAGTATTGTAAACATCTGACTAATGGATCATATGTGTAGTGGGAGATTCTGAAGATGGTACTAACTAGAAACAGTGATTGAGTAAAGAGATGTAAGAAGGACCTCTATTATATCTTTTGTTTTTTCCTAAGGAAATTCATCCATCACATGTCCTTATTTGATCTCACAATTTGTAGCTTTTTATCCAAACACAATGGCATGACAAAATCTTGCTGTGTGGCCTTCGAGTTTTTTGTGGTGGGAAGATTCCTGTACTACAATTCTCTCAGCCTTTTCAATTCTATAGGAGTTTGTTCATAATTAAAACAAAATATCCCAGGGCTGATACTAAAGAGTCTATATCATATTTTTAATATATAAGTTTATAAATGGAGCAACTACATTTTTAATATATTCTTCGACCTCTAACTTAGCTTTCAGTATATTTAACAATAGGGTAAAAATAGTGTTTTGTAACAAATGATTTTCTATCAAATGCATTAGAGCTATGAAGAAATGAGTATTGAAGTCGCTCACAAAACACTCACTTGTTATATATGTTCATCAGAAAGTGACTTGTAAATCGTTTTTGACATATTTAATGCAGCTCATTTATGTAAATGATGTCAATCCACAGCCCAGCTTTTCAGGGTCAGGATACTGTTGTTATAAAGCATGCTTCAGTACTAACACACCACGACTACTCCAAGCAATGGCCATTCATCTCTAGGCAAGAGGCTTCAAGATAAATTACTGTGAATTCTTGGACTCTGAAAGAATGAGGATGCTTTTTAGAGAATTCTGTCCCCTGGGGGTGAAGGGATCAGTGGGAGACAGCATCATTGGCAGGGACACTAGGTAAAGAATGATGTGTGCTCACAAGCTGGCCTCATTCAAAAGCCATGTTTTCATTAGCACTTTTAAGTGCTGTGATGGTTTGTATTTCTGTCCCTGGAAGTGTTCAAAAGCCTGAGGGTACAGATTGAGAAAAAAAGTGATAGGCTCAAATGGAAGAAAATGAAAAGTTTGTACAAGACCAAAAAAAAAGCTTCCTATTGAAAGTATTTATTAACTTAACAGCAATTCTTCTTAAGAACAGAGTTTATGCGGAAGGTGTTTGGCTATTTAAGAAAAGTTATTTCAAGGAAGATAAATCCAAGTAAAAAAAATAATATATTGAAGTCAAAAGTGTGGTTCCAGAAGCATTATTGTTCTATAAAGCTTGTATTCACTCAAATGAGAACTTGAATGGAACAAAATGGGTGTGTTTCATAGAATTCTGTTTTCCCGTAACTTATATTAGATGGCAATCTTAAAAAATGAATTGCAGTGTTCTTCGCAACAAATTTTTCACATTTTGGTTTATTTTTTTCTTCTTCTTATCTCATTTATTCTCAAAACCTAATCTAGATAAATGCTCTAGAAAATATTTACTACAGTATTACCATAACCATATTTTCAACTTATTTGATTCCTATAAAGATACATAATTTTACATGTGTGATGTGTTTTCATAAAAATACCAGATCTGATTCTGTTAGTGTTCAAGTTACTCCAGTGATTATATTACTTTCAACTTCAAAATCAAATTTAATGTACAAAAGCATTTTAATTTCCATGGACCAGGACAATGCAGTGATCTTACTGGGAATAGTGAAAATGGGCAAAGGGATAACCCTTTGGCAAGCTGCCAAAGAGATCTAACTCAAACCTGGGTAACAGTTCACACTGGGAAAAAAACAAAAAAAACCAACCAAAAAACCCCTAATACTGTAAAAATTTGTATCTTTTTTTTTTTCACTTCTGGATCTTAAAAATTATTCATGTAAGATAGTGTGAATTTATCCTACCACTTATGAATGATGGACATTAATTTTTACTTCAAGATTATATAATTAATTGTTCATACATATACATACATGCCACTTAAGTAAGATAAATATATCTTGCCTTACAAACTCTTCCAACTCGAGAAAGGATGGTCTTATCAGAAGTAGTGCCTTCTTGAGATGATTCACGAAAGAAGAAATATATCTTATCATCATCTGGATTATAGGTGTCTGGTATAGGGAAAGTTCCAATAAATTTTGCTCCTGTTTGAAAGAAAAGAAGCTATAGATTAAAATACTGAGACAATTCAGCCAGGATAGCATTGGTGTCTTTGAATGTGAAAGTTATCAGCAGAATAATAAAAAAAAAAAAAGAACCATTAATTGAATGTGTGAAATGAGACATACACAAATAAATATGACACGAGGTAGAAACATGTATTAGCATGCAGAAGTCTCGAACAAGTTCTCTAGGAACTTCAGAGACCCAGTGAGAACATTACTGGCTGATATTCACAATTGTTACAACTCAACCAAATTACTTAGAAAGTACTTTCAAACCTGGAGAATCTATGATTTTATATTTTCCTTTTATTTGATGGAGTCACTGTTTTTTAAATCACAATGTATAGAATGAAGAGCTTAGGGAAAACTATAAACATATCCCAAATTTTGATATGTTATTTGCTGCATTTTGTGTAATTGCTAAAGGGAAGAAGGAAATTAAAACAACTAATTAACAGAGCTTGGGTTGACTCCAGTGAAGGCTCTGGAGACAGTCTTTGCAGGTATATATCCTATCTCTCCCACTTACTACAAGGGTGACCTTACGTGAATTTTGCCTTCTCTATGCCTCAATTTTCTCATGCCTAATATGAGGCTACCAATCATCTACCTACTAGGATAACTGATATGATAACCAAGTGAATTAATATGTGTAAAGAACTTGGCAACTGGTAGTGCCTGACACATAGTAAGTGTTCAATGTTATTTATCATTAAATAAATCTTCAGGATGATAATCATTATTACGACCACTAACAAGAGAATGATGGAAAATTTAGCACATCCACACACTTGATCGAATAACAGGTGATAAACAGCTGATAAAAACGAAGAACACAGTTCCAAATGTACTGGCATGGAAAGATGCCCATAATACATGTCAAATGAAAAAAATATTAGCAACTCAACTAACCCCTTTGCACTGCACCAATGACAAGCCAGTTTGGGTTACTAATTCCCTCTTTAAAAAGTATTGGGCCTTTTTAAGTTTGGGTTTTATAGAATTGTGAATGAACCAGGTAACAGATCTGTAATGAGGTGATACTAATTCGGAAATAATTCTTTTGATTAAGGCAAACTAGAGACAGTGGTTATTGCAGAAAGAAGGAAGAACCCCAATGAAGTAGAAAATATGAGATGCCTGGAGGGAAGCACAGAGCCATCTTTAGGAAGTAGAAGCAGGAAACAAGAGAAGACAAAAAAAGTTTCAAACCACAGTCACCAGCACCATAACAAAAACAAAACAGAGAGTTAAGAGGTAGGTGAAAAAGATCAATATTGCCTTATTGTCATGTACCCCAGGAGTCCTGAAAATCATCCCCCTGCTAAAGTAGAGCAGTAGGTCAATAGCCCAGTAAACAGGACTTCCTAATAGCTTTCTTCAATAAACAAAAGTTAATGTTTGATTCCAAAGTGATAGGTAGTTCAGTCTTCATTATCCCAGCCAGGCTGGGTCAACCAGGGTCTCTTATCCAATTTCTTCTCTGCTTAAATGGGAAACTGAGAGGAAAAGTGAGGGGGAATTATGTGCATGAACTTTCTCCCCTTTGTTCTTTATTAGTTCCCTGTTCTTTCCCTGAAGTTCAGAACTCCAACAGATTCTTATGCTCTTGATAATCTCACTTTGATATAGTCCTAGGTTACATTAAAAAAAAAAATTTAGAAAACCATGTAGGGTTTTGGGAGGTGCCTGGGTGGCTCAGTTGGTTAAGAGTCTGCCTTCCGCTCAGGTCATGATCCTGGAATCCTGGGATCGAGCCCCGAGTCTGGTTCTACGCTCAGCAGGGAATCTGCTTCTCCTTCTCCCTTGCCCCTTCCCCTGCTTGTGCACTCTCTCTCGCTCACGCTTTCTCAAATAAATAAATAAAAACTTAAAAAAAAAGAAAGAAAACCATGTAGGGTTTTGGGGCGCCTGGGTGGCTCATTCTGTCAAGCGTCCGACTCTTAATTTTGGCTCATGATCTCAGGGTCCTGTAATTGAGCCCCAAAATGGCCTCTATACTCAGCAGGGAGTCTGCTTAAGGATTCTCTCCCTCTCCCTCTACCCCTCCTGAGTAGGAGTAGGACACAAAAGGGATAAAACTGAAAATATACATAAGTTATAGGAATATGATTGGCTTGTTTTATCTTAACAAATATTTGAACTTAAAAAGGGGGTTCACACAAGTAGAATTTATCATAGCCCTCAGATATAATTTAAATAAAAGCTCTACATGAAGCATGTCACCCTTGTAACATTTAAATCCTATCACTTTAATGACTGAGTTGAATTTATAATTTAAAAAATAACATTGTGGTACAAAATTTAGTCTTCTCTCTCTAGAGAGGACATGAGAATTCAGTGATGTGAAACTGATAATCATTACAGATAAAAGGAATTCAAGGGTGAGAGACAGAGTGGCTTGTAAAGCTTTCCTCAGATACTCAGATGGGTGAAGTGGTCCAGAGGAGCCAACTGTTAGGTTTTCACTTGTTTACCGAGTTCAACAAAAAAAAAATCAATTCCACGACAACACAGAATGTAGATGGTCTGCAAGGAGTCCAAATAAATATGACAATTCCTATTATCCTATTGCAGAAATACACAGAAAAACCTACTTTGGATATTGAAAATACTGTCCAAGTACAGGTATCACCATTTGAAATGGTCAAAGGTAGAATACGACACTAGTCTACATTCCAGGAATTTTATCTATGACATCAGTGGGAGAAAATAGAGTAGATACTTTCCCAATTTATATTTCTTTCACCTTTCAACTAATATATAACACAGATGATCAACAGAGCCTAGATGCTCATAGATGAACAATCACTTATATTCAGCGACTGTTGATTTTATTAGATTCTGTTTTAAATGTTGGTTCTCTTTTAAGTACTATAAGACAACCATTTTGGAGTACTATAAGAAAATTGAATGATAGGGTTTTTTAAGCCAAATGTTTATTATAGGAAGAAATCTAATTATGAAAAATGAGTTAGTATCAAATAGTACTCTATTGTGTGATTTAAATAATAAGCATACTCAAGAGGTAAAAATAAATACATTTCAAGAATACAAAATATCTTTCTTGCAGATTCAACTGAGGTCCTGTCTGAGAAGAATATTGATGCTAATACTTTAATGTAGAAACTCTTTCCTGAGTTGCTGCCAAGTTTGAGTAAAAATAGTTATCATTTAATCAGTGTATGACATGAACAATTGTTGCACTAAATAATTTAAAATCATAACAACAGACACCTGGGCTTTATTATAATAGCACATATTTCTCCTTCAGCATTTAAAAGACATGCTCTAATAGGGATAGAGTTTGAAATCATGCATTTTCACAAATGAGCTATTAGCATGACACTAAGAGGCGCTGCCTAATGAAAACGGCATCAGCCCACAGAGCCTGCAATATGCATCATGAACCTCTTTGCACCCGGATGAGCACACCTACACCATGATTTAGCAAATAGTGACTTCCTTACTTTCGTTCACTTCTTCTTGCAATATCTTCTCGCTACCACTTTTTAAAAATGTTACCCTTTCGAGTAGAAAGAGAATTTGGAGACAACAGAACTTACCAGGAGAAACTTCAAATGAAAACTGCCTCCATATGTTAAAAATAAAAATTTAAAACAAAAGTGCTCATCTACTCCAGGAAAGAAAACAAAAAACATATGCATTTGAAACATCATTGTTTGTTTTCATCTTCCAAATGGTCATACTTCTAAGCTTTATCCTAAAATTCTCACAAAAACTCCACTGTATTTGAGTAACCACTCTGACTTCTACCTACATTCCTATTTCCGGATGGTTCTAAGATTAAGTTGATAAAGAAAAGTGAAAAAGAGAAGTGTGGGACCATCTAAGACTTCATCCAGAACTGCCCGTGGTACCGCATCTTTGCAATTTTCCATCCTCCTGGTGAGGTATTTAACAGGATTAGTCTCTCAAAGAAGGAGTCGGGATTCATACTTCTTGAGGCTACTGAACCTGGATTAGATAAAGTCCTGAGAAATTCTGACAAGGATTCTTGGACTCGTAAGTGAAGAGGATAGCTGATCTTGCTCTGGCTAATTCCAGGCAGGGCAAAGAACAAAATATGGCATACATACAAGCATCAAGGAATTTATGGACCTAAAAAAGATTCACATAAGATCGTATTTTTTAAAAGGTTAATTATTTAAACACACTCAATTGCAAATTTAATTTAATTCTGTATTTCACTTATTCTAAATGTAATATCAATTTACATTTATAAGATTTAATCACAAACATGTAAAAAATAGGATTTTAAACTAAAAGTGAAAGTATAGAGAGCAAAATTTAACAGGAAAAAACTTTGAAACTTGTCTAACCAGAAATAAATAACACTATGATGTTACAATATATAGAAGAAACTGATTAGACATTGACATCGACTCCATCATCTGAAATATCAAATATGTCAGTTCTTCCTCTTTTTTTTTTGAGATTTTATTTATTTATTTGACAGAGACACAGCAAGAGAGGGAACACAAGTAGGGGGAGCGGGAATGGAAGAAGCAGACTCCCCGCTGAGCAGGGAGCCCGATGCGGGGCTCAATCCCAGGACCCTGGGATCAGGACCTGAGCCGAAGGCAGACGCCCAAGGACTGAGCCACCCAGGCGCCCCCCACCTTTTTTTTAAAGATTTTATTTATTTATTTGACAGAAAGAGACACAGCGAGAGAGGGAACACAAGCAGGGGGAGTGGAGAGGGAGAAGCAGGCTTCCCGCCAAGCAGGGAGCCCGATGCGGGGCTCGATCCCAGGACCCCGGGATCAGGACCTGAGCCGAAGGCAGACGCTTAATGACTGAGCCACCCAGGTGCCCTGTCAGTTCTTTCAACCTGGCAACAATTTTATGAAACTGAGGTGTGAGTTTCACATCTAGATGCTAAGTGAACAGTAAAGAAAATTTAGACTTGTGTTGCATTATTTGATTGTGAGCTACCGCACATAATTAATAAATAAGTACACTTTAGACCAGCAGGGCCTAATAGAAAACCCTGTGATGATGGACATGTTTTATATCTGTGCTGTTCAATAGTCCTTAGCCCATGCGGCTACTGAGCACTTGAACTATGTCCAGTATGACTAAGGAACCAAATTTTAAATGCATTTAATTTTAATCAATTTAAATGTACATGTGGCTAGCGTCTACTATATTAGTGCCGCTTTCGAGCAAATAGCCTGTCAGTAACTGCTACATCAGGTCCAGTGTTAAGGCAAAAACAGCCTCTATTCCCATAACTGTCACCAAAAGGGCAGTCAAACTTGAGATTCCGGAGACAGGAGACACTATTGCCCTCAGAAGTTTGGTACTGGAATGGAATGACAGGCTTGGGGGCTAACAGACCTGGACACACCTTCTTCATGCCGTCTTAATTTATGGAATATAAAGTTGAATAAGATCATGTCTATGATAACCTTATTCGCAGTAATCTTCACAGTTCCTCTATCACTGTATTTTGTTTCCACGCATTCCCGACTCCAGCCAGATGATCCACTGACCTCTGTCTTTGGACCCCAGGTTGATTCTATCTGGAAAATGGCCACTTCTCAGAATGGAAAACAGAAATGCTCCCTAAGCAAGTCAATCTTTTGCCTTAGCCAATCAAGTACTTCCTCATTACAAGAATCTCATATAGTTTCTATAATTTCTCCCTTGCTGTGCCCTAGTTTCCATGGGCTGAGAAGCTCCTCGGCTGAATGGGTCTCCTGAAGCATCGTGTTCTTCTAATTCCGGCCTACCTGTCCATCAGCAAACATCTGATCTGATGGTTGCACTAACCCTGAATTCAGAGATTCTGCCGAGGTCTTCCACATCACTTACCTAACCACACGTTCTCTCTGGGCTCTAGTGCCTACGACCAAACCCACATCCTCAGTTTGCTATTGCACAACATAGCATTTAGGCATGGCCTCTGTCTATAAATGAGCCCCCAAAAGCAGGGAATGTGCAGTCAGAAGAGCAGAATTTAGGTTGATCATAAAATACATCATAAAATGTCAAGAAAAAAGTGTCTAGAGCAAGAAAGACATCCCTGAGTCTCAGTCTCCCATCTACTAGCTATCTATAAACAATATATCTGACTTTTAATCTAGCCCCCAAATGTAAAGTGGGAATAGTAATTCTCTCAGGATTATATCAGTAAATAAAATAATACTTTAAAAGTGCCTAAAATAGTGACCCGTGTGGACGCTATATAAAATAAATTTGAAGCAGAAGAGATCAGCGATAGGAAAATGAATTAACAAACAATAAAATAGTGGCAAGAACCCAGAGATCAAGTGATGAAGACCTATAGAAAGATGGCCATGGAAACAACAAGGTCGATAGATATTTTGACGGAAGTAAAAGCCCCTAGTGACAGATAAGATAAAGGGGGTGGGGGAGAGGAAGGAATCCAAGATAACTTCAAGGTAACTGGGTGAATAATGTTTAGAAAGTTAAGATAGATAGAACTCAGGAAACTGGCAATGAAGGGCAGGTTAGAAAGGGAAAACAAGATAATTTTAGATTTTAGATTTTTAGATCCAATTAGTCTTTTATGTATCTCTAACTATATCTGTATCTGCATATATTTAAAGAAACTCAAGCAAAGGATCACAACTTAAACAACTTGTAAAAAAAAAAATCAAAGCACCTTAGTGGCACAATCAGGGTGAAGGCTTAGATATCTTTACTTGCATACAAAACAATCAGCTTCTTTCTTGTGATCTGGGATGAAAATGTAAGACACCCAAATAAATATTCTTAAGGGCTCTGAGTTGCAGGAAAAAAGGCTTGGAAATGTAGTTTCAGGAAATACTGGAGCACAGGAAACAGTTGGAAATCTGAGAGTGAATGAACTCACAGAATTATGAAATGCAGAGAGAGAGAAAGAAAAGGTGGTCAATAGTTATAGCTAAATAGATACCAGTGAACCACAGAGACTTTGGTGTTTTAGTCCCACCTCCTGCCTTTTTCACCTTCAAGAATAAGGACAATGATGTGATGAAAGCATTGACAACTGAACTGCTCTTAAAATTGTCTTCCATCAGGCTTCCCAATATGATCTTCCCTATATGATCTAATTTAATCCTTAGAACACCCTGTGAATAAATACTATTATTATGCCAAATTTTTTACAAAAAAATGTAGACGCACAGAAAGGTTTGACCAAGGTCACAAATAAGTGATATTCAGGATTTAAACCTACGGAATTAAATTCCACAGAAACAGAGCTGTGATTCTTGTCTAAACTAGGACACTTTTGAGAGCTACAGAACATTAGAGGTAGACTGGAAATGTCCAGGGCAAACCGGGTTTTATGGTCCCCTGGCCATTAATCAATAAGCATTCTGCCTTGAATGTCTTAGAACCATAAACATTGGTTCTAATTCTTAGTCATTTGCCTGCATTCAGTCCATTGAGACTTTTCAAATGTGTATCCTTTCTGCTTTCTTCCTTTCCACTGACTTCTCTAATCACAAAGTTTTCTCGGTATCTAAAACGTTCTCTTGAATTCCATCCTCAGATCCTTGAATTCTTCTATTCCCAAATATCTTCTATTTCAAATATTTGTTGCTGTATATTCTCACATCCGTCTCAACTGCCAATACCTTTGTTCTTGTACCACATTTTCCTGATTCTTTGCTATGGCTTCTTTCTCTATCCTCATTCTCTTTTAGTCTTCTCTTCATACTACTGTCAGTTACTTTATAAAAAACAAAGATCCGATTCCCTAATTAAGATCAGGTTATGGATGAAGGGGGTGAAAAGGTACAAACTTCCAGTTATAAAATAAGTAAGTCATGGGGATGTAATTGTACAGCATGGTGACTACAGTTAATATACTGTATGGCACATTTGAAAGTTGCTAAGAGTAGATCTTAGAAGTTCTCATCACGGGGCACCTGGGTGGCTCAGTCGTTAAGCATCTGCCTTCGGCTCAGGTCATGATCCCAGGGTTCTGGGATCAAGCTCCGCATCAGGCTCCCTGCTCAGCGGGAAGCCTGCTTCTCCCTCTCCCACTCCCCCTGCTTGTGTTCCCTCTCTCGCTGTGTCTCTCTCTGTCAAATAAATAAAAAAAAAAAAAGAAGAAGAAGTTCTCATCACACACACAAAAATACTTCCAACTTTATGGTGACAGATGTTAACTAGACTTATTATGATCATTTTGCAATATATACAAATATTGAATCATGATATTATACCCTTGAAACTAATATAATGTTATGTGTCAATTATACCTAAAGAAAAAAAAAAAAAGAACTAAACCATACTTCACTTTCCCATGATGTCAGGATAATATTTATACCTTTCTAGCCCCAACTCCCACTCTCTTCTAATGCTTCCGGTAGTCACCCCTGAGTTCAGTAACCCTCCCATGTAATCTTTGCAAGTCCATGAGTAGAACAGCATTCAGTATGCCAAGGGTCCTCAAAAGTTGTTATTAAATGTTAAACCAATGCAAGGCTTCCTACTTTGTAATTCTCTTCACACAGCATTTAAGAAAAACATGCTAGTCAAATAATAGTTGAATAAAGATTTCCTACATTTATTAATTCAGCAATGCAGCAGACTTCTTAATGGACATGTCATAGTTAAGGAATAAATAGAATAATCTCCGAAAAGAGTGGCAATATGATGACATTTGCCATCCCAAGATTAAGAAATACAATCTATACTTCATTTTAAAGCCATAAGTATATCTTGCTACCTAAACAGATGGGTAAGTAATTTGGTAAAATCCATGCACTCACTTTCAAACCAAGTATTTCCACAAAAACCTCAATATGCTCAAGAAGATAGTCTTGCCTTGTCTGAGTGTAGAGAAATTAATGAGTAATCACATAGTTGGGAGATCTTCTAAATTTGTCTTCCCCCGTAACAGGCTCTCTTTTGGTCAAGGGAGATCCCATTGTTGTGTAAACAAATGGATCTGGAGGTTCTGACTAAAGAAATGTTTTAAAGCATTTTTCCCTTTTGTTTATGTTGTCACCGCTTAAATGATACTGAGAGATAGAGAGATAGCCCCGAGGAAATGTCTACCCAGGCCTCCTCCACCAAAACCCAGTATTTATGGTGGGAAAGAGAAATGTTGTTTGTCTGCTTAAATGGCAATGTTATGTTATTCTGCCATGCTTTATAATAAAGTCCTATGATAATTAGAAAACATTAGACTATCATGATAAAACCTGATCTGCTATAAGGCAGGAGGACATAAACAAACATAAATTAATTAATCAATCAATTAATTCATTAGTGGCTTTTTTAAAACTCAGAATACTGTATTACCTCCAAACAAAAAAGTAATCAGATAAACTTATGTCAATATTAATATGCTTAAAATTTTAGAAGGACATGTCAACCCAAGTATAAATAACCTTTCAACAAAAGAAGTTAGCATTACAACCTATCCCTTTGTTGTTAGGCTGTTAGACAGTATTTGGATTAGTCATTAAAAAACAGACTTCAGGAGAAAGATTGACAACTTGAACCCCAGGGTCTACAACTGACAAGTTATAAGAACTTGACCAAATTTCTCAACTTCATTCTGTTTACTCATCTTAAAAAGGCACATAATAATAATAATGCATACCCCATATGTCATTGTGGACATTTAAAAAATCAATTAGAGCATGGAACAGCGTCAAGGACAATAGCACACTTTCAGGAAGTGTCAGCTATTATTATTATATACACAACAGGCTCTGGAGATTTGTCTTAGTGGGGAATTAATCAAATGCATTTTATAATGTTAAGCTAAACCACTTATTCCCAAACACATTTGAATGAGTAATAATGAGTTTCTTATCTATCCAAAAGCCAAGGCAAAAAAATGAAAAGAGAAAATCACTAACCATTGAGCCAGTAATGCTCCGAAATGTCGGTTCTGATGTAATGATGGTCATGAGTAGGCCCAAGGGACCGCGTGAATGCCGTGTCTTTGCCAAGGAAATCAGATGCTGTTCCAGAATAGAGGTACTCATCTGAGAGGGAGAAGAGAATACACAGGACTTCTAAGAATACAGCAGCAGATACTATTTGCAATATACTAATTTCATTGCGTGAAACCAAAGACGTTTCTTGCTTAACATGAGAAGATACTGTTTCATAAATTTCACGTTCAAATTTCGAAAAATTTGTAGAGTCGAAGACAAGATAACCCAATGAACTTTGGTATGCTGGTGCTAGAGACCTGAAGATAAAAATGGCCAAAGTCTTCTGAATTCATAATTGCATATGCATTAGCTTCTCTTATGAATAAGCCCTTCCTCCTTTCCCCTCTCCCACAAATAACTCAAGGACACATCATAATTAAGAGTTTGTCTTTGTAGCAGCACAAAAAATACTAAAAAGTAAATGCCATAATGAGGAATGGATTGCGTAATTAGTATTTACTTAACCAATACAACCTCAATGACCACAACTTTTCTCTGCCTAACCTCTGCTGAAAGGGAGCTTTCAGCACTGAAGTCATTCTTGGTAATTATAACATGTTGCATTCCTTGTAGCTAATCACATCTCTAATGGTTCTGATACACAGGAATTCCTGAAAAGGGAAAGATGTGGCTATTACTGCATACCGAACTTCTTTGTCCTGTTATTTATGTAAAATGCATATCCATGTTTTACCAGAAAGAGAGAAGTGGGGGGGGTACGCAGGGTGGGGGTCGGGCAGAAGAGAAAGGAGAGGAGAAAGGGGGGAGGTGTAAGAAGGGAAAGAGAAGGATGAGAGGAAGGGGAGGGAGAAGGAAGAGATCAGGGAAGAAGGGGAAGAGAAAAGGATTGAGGGAGAGAAAGGGGAGTGGGGGCCAGTGTTCCCTAATGCTAGTCAGCACTTGGAGGGGGGAGAGACAAGAATGTTGTCCCTACAGTAGAATATATTGCCCCTTTGAAAGCTAAGCCTCTATTTCAAGAAATCTTTATAGTCAATAATGTTGAGTACACGTAATAGACCAAAATAAAAAAAGAAAAGGCTAATCTCTATAGAGCATTTAGATTTTTAAATGGCTAAGTATAAGATCAGTGAAAGACACTGTTTTATCACTAAAATCCAATTTTCCTCAGAAATATTATCTTTAAAATTCTGACTTTCTATAAGTGATTGAAATACTTTCTAAATCCTCTGATTACATCCATCTGAATAACCTTTTACTGAACTATTTGAGTCAACCAATCTAAATAATGGCAAGAGTCAATTTCCAAAGGTAAACAAAACAAAACAAAACACAAAAGAGAGAAATCCAGTTAGGTAAAGTAAATGTAGATATGATACCACTTCCTTCTCTTAAAGCAATCCCCTAAAATAAATGGTAAATGACAATATTTCATTTGTGGAGCAAATTTTTAAAAAACAGAAGAAAAATAACAACATCAATAAAGACTCTTACTTGGTAAGAGTAAAGGAAACAAACTATTCGTTTGAAAAAAAAAACTATGGAAAGGAAACAAACGTGTGTTTCAACCTAAAAACTGTATCTGTATATCCAGGCTTTAAAACTGTCTTCTTTGCATTTAAATCACTTAGGGATTTGTAAGAGGGCTCACCGATGCCCATAGTCCATTGTTTTTATTAAGGATATGTCAACCCCACTTGACAGATCAGAATCCCAAATCATCTAACTCCCTTTCTGAGGATAATGACTGAACATCAGTCATACAATTTTCAAAACACACAAAAACACGCATGCTTTCACTTCAAAGGAAGATCACTAGTTTTCACTAAGTGAAAATTAAAATGTCATGGTGCTTCACTCTTATCGTCTATTCAAACATTTGATAGACAAATTCAATAAAAAGAGAGTAAAGTCATGAACCAAACCAAGACAAAAGGGGTCCTTATAATGGTTAAAATTCAGAGGTCGGGCCAACATTCCTCAGAACAGACTTCAGACCCACAGCACTGCCTTCTTTAAACAGGATAATCACCTCACAAGCGAATTTAAGATGTAGACAAAGCAAGAGAAGACTGAATGTGCCAGCAAAAAATTCACAATTTCCATTACTACAATCAGGTTAATGTGAAATTGCGGGGAAAAGATGTTATAAAATTCTATTATCTGTATTCTATGTTATCTGTATTCTATCATTTGTTTTATTAGTTTATCCACTACATCTTACTATTAATCCTTCCACTCAAATCTTCAACATATTTTGTAACCTATTATGTTTAGGAATTGCTAAATTTAACTTCTGTAGTAAGCCAAATAGGGGCATAGCTTAGTATAAGAAAATCTGAGACAACTAAATATAAAATTATAGAACAAGTAACTATGTGTCATTTGCATTAAAAAGAATTCAACCAGAACTTCATTTAAAAACTGTATAGAGGGGCACCTGGGTGGCTCAGTTGGTTAAGCATCTGCCTTCGGCTCAGGTCATGATCTTGGGGTCCTGGGATCACCCCTGGCTGGCTCTCTGCTCATCGGGGAGTCTGCTTGTCCCTCTCCCTCTGCCCTTTCCCCTCCTTGTGCTCTCACTCTCTCTTTCTCAGATAAATAAATATAAATAATAATAATAAAAAAACTGTGTAGAAATGAAGGATCTGCTCGGGCTTCCCCTGATGATAAGGTTGCTAAATATAGAGATTTGGCACTAAAATACTATAATCAAATAGCTAGTGAAAGAGTAATCCCAAATAATCTTTAACTCAATAAGAAAATGTGGTTTAGTCTACACATACCTTTTCAGAAAACCACCTAAAAGCAAGGCCATTGATCTTACCTGTCATTACCGAGGCAAAAGGCTGCTGAGGATCAAAAGGACATTTCAGTCTGCCAGACTCCAAATTATGTGTGTCTAGTTTGAATATAACTTCCTGTTATGAGAAATATTAAAACAAGTGAGATTTTTTAAAATAGCAAATCAGCAAGAAGATAGGAGATAAGAACTAAATTCTAACTCATTAATTCAACAAAAACTGATTGAGCATATAGCATGTGCATCATGCTGTGCTCCTTAACTCTTTTGCAAATATTATTTCTGGCAAGGCTCAATTCCCATGTTTTGGTCTGTGTTTGCCCAAAGTAGTAATGATAATACTGAATGAATTTTTCAATTGGAAGTAGTGATATAACCATCAATTCACTGAGTCTGGACCACTCTCATTATCAAAATCACCATCAAGCACACACATTTCTTAAGGCTAATAACAAATTTATTGAGCCTAATAAGCTAATTTCCTCATCTAAGAAATGAATTTATGGGGCGCCTGGCTGGCTCAGTCCATTGAGCATGTGACTTGATCTCAGGTTCATGAGTTTGAGCCCCACGTTGGGTGTAAAGATTGCTTAAAAAAAAAAAGAAATGAATTTACTAAAATAATTACACTTTCATTACTATTGTGGTTTATTTACTCACACATCTTCAACTAAACCAAAATAGGCCTTGTGACATTTTGTGATTTTAGAGACATAAAAGCGTGCTAAGGCAGACAGTCCATTTACAGAGCTGTTGATACATGTGGGCAAAAAAATCCCAAAAAACAAAACAAAAAAAAACCCAACAACCAAAAAAAACCCTGTTGTAGTATTTTCACTATTATGAAAACACTGTACACATTAAAACCACATAGTTATTTTGGCTGAAATATCTATTTTTATAATAGTGGCCACAGACAGAATGACATTGGCAGACTTTTAATATTCAGGAAAAAATAACATCTTAAGTTGAACTTTCCAAGAAAAATATGAATGTATAATGAATATGGCCCCATGAGTTTGAGTGTTTCATAACAATGACAACACTACCACCCAGCAGAAAGGCTGATGACTCACCCTGCATATGCACTAGTTAGAGAAATCTAGCATTTCAGATATTTTCTCTAGACAGTGTATCTACCAAGTTGTATCAGAACACATGCATAATGAGAAAGGAACATTCAGTGCTACTTATCTAGAAAGTAAGCAATGAAGCAAAAGGGATAGAGGGAATTGGATTGTTTGTTGTACTGTGTTGTCATTTCAGATTTGTTTCTTCTGAACAGAACCAATAGTAATGACCACCTTATTAAAAAAAAAAAACAAACAAACAGTGGTAGTAATTTAAATAGCATGATTGACAATGGCTATTTCATAGTTTTAAGTAAATGCACTTTCACGCTAACAGGAATAGTCCCTGCCATTAGGTACTGTGGGCCCAGGAAATTTATGTACATTGTCTCATTGAATCCTCACCATAAGCCTAAAGCTATAGCTACTTTAAGAATTCCAGCTTCACAAGTGGAATATTGAGGACAGAAGGGGTTAACTATCTTGTTCAGCAGCACATAGCTAGTAAGAGGCAAAGCAGTAGCTTGAACTCTCAGGGCTGTCCCCAAAGTTCATGCTATTAACTAATCTCACCTCAGAATTTCAAACTCATGGATTTAAAAATGTGTTAAAATCAATTTATAGACTCACCATGACCATGTAATATGATCAAATCCAAGTATGTTTAGTTGGAACAGGCCAGCTAATAACAAGCTGTGATAGTGGAACCTTGGCATGGAAAAGGTACAGTGAGAACCCATTTAGGGCATGCTTCCCAACTGCGAATGAGGCTACAGAGATGTCAGGGAAAAAAACACCTGTAGACAGTGGCACTCGTGTGTGTTTAAATATCATTAAAGGCACATTATTTTCCACAGATCAAACAGAACTGTTGACTCTAAAGCCTATAATAGGATATTGTAATGGGAAAAAGTAAACTGAATCCCAGCATGCCAGAAGATTAGAGTAAAAAGTTAAAAAGGAAAGACCAAGAAAATAGGAGAGTGTCACAGTTGATGAAAAGTACTAGATAAACCCTCCTAACTGTACAGACTTCTGTTTTTAAGATGCAACATTTCATTACATTCTCAAGATAAGCCCATAACATTGATATCTTGAAGGCTTAGGACAAGGTCTCTCTTATAATCTCCTGGAGAAAGGAATTATCAGGAAAGAGAGTTTCCTTAAGCCAGAGTCAAGGACATCACGAGGAAAATTCTGTAAAAAATAATGGTTGACTGAGTGGACTTTGGGAGATAAACTGACTGAATTACAGGACACTAACGTTTGAGACAACTTCAGTTTTATAAGAAAATTCCTTCAGCGTAATTAAGTAAGCAAAACATACCAGCGTATATTGTTGAAGTAAAGAGATGAGCATGATAGGAAAACATTTAGTTATCAGGCAACTAGGCTGAGTTATTGTTAATACCACCCCCATTTAAAGATGAGATTTCTGGCAGCAGAGGGGAGATCCCAGAGGAGAGAACATCCTTCCAGTGTAATTACTAAACAAATAACAGGCATTGCTGGTATCACAGAATAAATGTATATATTTACACATACAGAATATATATATACATACACACACACAAACACATCTATACATACACACATGTATACACACACGCATATACACACACATTTATACATACACATACATGCATACACACGTCGCAGACATTATTTTTCCATGAAGTTTACATACACACTTTCCAAATCCTTGCTGCCTTTCGTGTTCCTCTTGCCTAGTACGGCTGAGTCGTAAGTGGTAAGTGACTGGAATGAAGCAAGGGCTCTGCCAAAGCCCATACAAGCATTTTCTCATTTTATCCTTCAAATAACTCTGTGAGATAGTTACTATTATTATCATCCTCATTTTGCTGAATAAACAGAAGCTTCAAGAGTTTATGCAGGGCGCATAAGACTACGGAGCTGGTAACTGACCGAAGCCATAATTCAAACTCTGGCTGCCCAGGCTCCAACGATTAGCTGTTGACAACTGCCCTGACTCCTGTCCTGAAATCCGGATCCCACTGCCGGCTTGGCATGACCTAACCGAACATTTTGCAAATGCAGAACATATAAGACTCACTCACCGTTTCCCTCGCAAACTTGTTACTATTCTCACCTCAGTAACACCACTCTCTAACTCACTGCCAAGGACAGAAATCTGGGATTCATTTGAGCTTTTCTCCTCTTTCCTCTCACTGTCCCAGGATTTCCCAGGAAGGGGACTTCCCACACTTCCCTTTTGCATCCCTCTTACATATTGCCGGTCCCTCTTTCCAGCCCCATCAGGAGAAACCTCATCTATTTGAAAATGGAAGAGCCTTCTAAATTCCCTCTGGAAGAGCAATGATTCCTGGGACTAATAATTCATTGAAAAAAGTTAAGAATCTTCAAGCAGCGTTGCCATACAATTACCTGTATTCTTGACCGGTGGAAAAATCACCAGGCTCACCTCCCAGCTCACCCATAATTCTCTGAGTCACAGACCTTGTAAATCTGACTGTCCCAGGCCCTCTTGACAGCCCCAAGCTAAGTAATTAGCTCCATCTAAATTCCCTTTCAGCACTTGTGACTTTCAGGAGTTAAAGAACACTATTTGCACCCCTCAGCAAGTTGTGAGTTTGGCCTTTAGCCTCAGGCCTCAAAACACATCCAGGCTGTGGGGCTATCTAATATAATTACACCCTATGTTATATATTACCCTTCATCAAAGCTAGGCAAGAGAACATTACACCAGCAACAAAGAATGATGGATTCAAGTTGCCAAGTCTCCTAGTGGTTCGGAGATTTAACTATGAGGGTTGCTTTATTTTCAAACAGTTGAGAATGGGCTGGTTAGACAAGTTGGTTAGAGAGGAAAATTAATCCAGCCACAGCTGTGGGTTTGATCTCTGCATGAATCAGTTAAATCAATGTAAAGAAACCTGTTCCATAAACCCAGACTTTACTTTCAAACACACAGCGAATTATCCTGCAAATATGTGTGGTTATTCACAAGTAGTATATACATAAACATAAGGATGACAGTACAACTCATCAAACCCATACAAAGAAACAATTTAGGGTATGTACTCTAAAGCTCAGTTGAGCATGCTTGCTCTAGAGACAGACTGCTTTGGTTCAATTCCTTGCCAGACCACTTATTAGCTGGGTGATTTTAGGCATGTTATTTAATTCCACTGAGACTCAAGTTTTACTAACTTGTAAGTTGGGACTTATAAAGGTACTAACTTCAATTAAAAGCGTTGTTAAATTTCAGAGACAATCCATGTAAAGTGCCTGGCATAGTCCATGATACAAAGAAGGCACTTTAATGTATCAGCTACTAATTAAACTACTGAAATCTGCATGTTTCTCATTTATTAAAATGCTCATTGATAGCTGGAATATATTCCTCTTAATCTAGTACATTTTTATTTGCACTATGGCAATTCGGCCCAGCAGAAATAATGAATTCAGTGTGCTAATGACTATGTATATAATTTTAAGAAAAAAAAATTATCTGTACTTAGTGTGTAACCATATATAACAGGTCAAATTTGCTGGATGGGAAAAATGAAATTATTTATAAGATACAATTCCACTGCAAGGTCATATGGGATGTGGATTTTTACTAACAGCAACTAATATAGATCTAATTACAATGGAAACGCAAAAGAAAATAAGAACATACACAGAGTCTATAGAAAACAAACACTTTCAACATTTTACACTTTTAATTTTGATCATCTCATTAAAAAACTTCTAATCAAAAAACTTTTTATTGGGTAGATAAAGTGTGTAATCAAAATGGCAATCTGTAAGGTGGTTGGGAACATGAGTTCTTATGTGATTCATAAACTATATGATTCAAACTTTATATTCATATCTGCCTGTTTTATGTCAAAGACATTAAGTGACAAGGTATTATAACTAATTGTTTTCATGCTATTTCATTATATTACCTCCTTGTAGACTCCAAGATCAATATAACCACATATTGGATGAAATGCTCCAGTTCCACACACATAAATGTGAGTTTTGTTATAGGGTTGAAGTACGCGGATAAAATTTGCACATTCTGTCTATTGGACATAAAAAAAAAATAAAAGCATTAGCACGCAATTCATGTTGTTGAAAGATCATCATTCATACCACCTGTTTTCCAAGTAGATAAATCATCAAGAAAAACAGCAAAAATGAAAACGATTCATGAGACATGCTTAAACATCTGACTTAGCAAAGGAAGCAAAACAAACTAGAAACTGTGACTTAAATGAATGATTGAAGCTTTTCTGAAGTTTTACAGGTGTTGAACTAATCAGAATGCAAGAGTGCACATCTCTATAGATATTCAGCGGGGCCTACGGAATGGATATCAACAGAATGAGATATCCATACCTTCTTTCAGGAATTACCTAAGAACAAAACCTGTCATGTTCTGATATTCCCACATTGTCTATCACATTATAGATCCACTGTTGACAACATCAACTGTCTCAGCTACACTGAACAAAACATGAACACACTTGTGTATTCCCACCTATGTATTCCATTTTTATTGGATGGAATGCACTACCACTTTATTCCCAACTATTTTTAATGTCACAGAGCCTTTAAAAATCAATTTAATTTCTCTTTATTCCAAGAATCTCTTGTTCTTCCCCTGCATTTTCTAACACCAAGTCAAATTTTTGAAGAGATTTTTATATCTCTGCTTGCTTTGCATGTGCTTGGTCCTAAAAATATTTCTTTGCATTATTATCATTATAACATATATTATCTATCCCCTAATTAGTTACAAGTAGTGACTCTTAATTTTTCAGAGTAGTCATTTCTGTTATTATACATTATTTTTGATTTATCTCCTATAAGTAATTCCTTACCTTTACATGATTATTGGCTTCATGGTTCCTGGACCCCAAAATCCCTGAGAAAACACCGGGCTGGAGTATACTTTTATTCTGGATTGACTTTATCTAGGAGATGGGGAAGTGTTCACCAAGAAAGGTATAAACCTAAGAAACCACTGGGATTCATAGAAAAAGTCTAGTTCTTCCCTACCTGAATGGCCATGCGTTCCTCACCAGTCAGACGTTGACCTAATGGGTCACTCTTATTGTAAGAGTTGTTAAGAAGGAATATATTACAAAAGAACCCAAAAGACAAAAAACAATGACCTAACTGGTAGGGTGGTTTTTAGAATTAAATACAATTTTCAGAAAGCAGACAGCAACTTAACTGACAGGATTAAGTTAAATAATATAATATTAATAATTATTATTTACCCTGATTTGGATATATATAAAAGATCAATATCCCAGTGGCTATTCAGATTTTAGAGTGAAAAGCTATACCTGCATAACTGTGGTAAAGAGTTCCTAGTCTCTAGTACTTCCCTTGGCCAGCTAGCCTTGCAATTTTATGTCTCGAGAATTCATAGATCCCAGTTAATAAAATGTGTACATTCTACCACAGAAGAATGTTACAATGAACTCATCGAATCTTCTGTTCTCTGCTTTCTATAAACAAAGCAGTTGCTTCAGATTGTATGAAAGGACAGCATCATTACTGGTCTCTCAGAGAGCTACACAAGGAAAGGATATTTCTTTATCAGGTAGGCAGACTAAGCATTCTCTAATAATGGCACTGCATATAGTTACTTAGGTTGTATGCCAAGGGGGAAAAAAAGGCACATCTAAGGATGTGCAAGTTACACTACAGACATCTTTACTATCCTGAATATTTTCATATATTTTGTATATGTTCTCAAACATTCATTATATGCAGTCTCTTAAGAAAGGAACACTTTAAATTCACTAAGACAGTTTTCTGGCAAATAGTCTTGTTTAACAAAAACATATTATGTCAGTTTTCCACCTTTCTGTCAAGGTGTCTGATGGAGAGAAATTATTTTCTATTTGCACAAAGGCACCATAGAGGACTAGCTTCATATTCTTTTTTTTTTTTTTAAGATTTTATTTATTTATTTGACAGAGAGAGACAACAGCGAGAGAGGGAATACAAGCAGTGGGAGTGGGAGAGGGAGAAGCAGGCTTCCCGCTGAGCAGGAAGCCTGATGTGGGGCTTGATCCCAGGACCTGGAATCATGACCTGAGCCGAAGGCAGACGCTTAATGACTGAGCCACTCAGGCGCCCCTAGCTTCATATTCTTTAACATCATGTTAGGCAATCTCAGATGAAAATCTAATTCAGACAGTACATATGTCATACTAATGATTTTGAACAAATAATAGAGACACCATAATATGAGAAAGCCAAGACAAAAAGGTTAAAAAAGTCTGTGATCACCAGATAAACTGTAATGATGGCTTTATCACTAGAATGAGAGGTTTTAATATTCTCCAGCTTTTATTTTACTCACTCATGCTCACTGAAGGGACTTTTATTTCTTGGTCTTTCCCCCACCAAGAGCTTTATACAAGGGTGAGATCTATACCAGGAACAGTACCCAGGGAGGGGAAGAGTAGAATTACATTGCTGGAGTGAGGACGGACTGACTCGCTGCCCAATTATTTCATCATTTTTTAAAAAGCTGTTTTAACAAATAGTCATAGAATTTAGAGGGTAATTTTTATGAACGAGTACTTGTGTCCTCTAAAATTCATTGGTTGAAACCCTAACCCCTCGCCCCCCCAGAGGGATGGTAATAGGAGGTGGGGCCTTTGGAAGTAATTAGCTTTAGAAAAGATCCTGAGATTGGGATCATCATGATGGGAAGAGACAGAACTCTCTCTTTCTCCCTCTCTCCCCCTCCCTCTCTTTCTCTATCTCTGCCCCCTGCCATGTGAAGATACAACAGGATGATGTCCATCTGCAAGCCAGGTAGAGAATTTTCATCAAGCACCAAATCTACCAGCACTTTGATCTTGAACTTCTCAGCCTTCAGTACTGTGAGAGATAAATGTCTGTTGTTTAATGTCTGTAGTTTATGAGATTTTGTTACAGTAGCCCACGCTATGACAGCAATTTTACAAGATTTTGAAATAAATATTTGTATAAAGAAATAAAACAACTTCCTTTCCAGATTATAAATTATGGAGTCAGAAAGATGAAGGACTATGAGAGACACAGCACTGTTTTTAAAAAGGCTAATAAGGCCCAGGGTGAAATTTTATACACATAGGAGATATAATGTTACTGATTATAAAGAAAAAGCTCTGAATCACACCTAAAATATTTCACATCCTTTAACTTTTCTAGGAGTACTTTATTAAAATGCAGCCAGCCCTGGAAAGTAATTTATTATGCTAGTTTTCTGACTTGGTGAGATATTCACAAGGATTTATGAAATTCCTCCATCTCCCAGATTCGGGTGACATGGAATAGAACAATTTATGGGTGAGTCCTGAATTGTCTGACACTTTACAAAAAAGTCAGTTCTGCTCAAAGTGTTCTGTAATGAAGTTGATAGAGGGTAGTTCTAAAGCAGCCTGGAGGCAAGGAAAAGGCACTGGTTGCCTGATGGATGAGAAACCTCAGAACAGAGATCCTACAAGATCAAGTTTGGCTTAAATAGCAGGAGCAATGATTAACTTGATTTAATTCACTTAGCGTTCTGCATGGCTATTCACGGTAGTGTAATTCTGTGAGGCATGAAAAAAGATAATTTTGAGAAGCAGCTTTTCGAACTTTCCCTGAAAGCTGGCTTATTTGTTAGCTATTCCCCACAACTGCAAGTGTGGTTGCATGTGAGCAAACATTTCAATTTAGCGAGTAATAGGCTCAACTTTGGAAAAATATGAATTTCTCCTTCTTTCCTTATTCTTCCCACCTACTCCCTTCCCCACCTACCAACATTCCCATCGGAAGAAAGAGAGAAGGAGAAGATTTAAAACTAGTATCGACTTTTTAATTCTCTCAAGTAATGCTTCAATATTTTACCTCACATATACATTTATACACTATATGTAATTAAATAAATAAGACAGATGTAAAACTGAATTAATACTTGGAAGAAAAGGCTAATATATGTTTGTATTATGTATTAAAACTTGGAATTCTAGTTTCAACCTAGATATGTGAAAAAAAAAGCAACACAGAAATACAACACAGAAATTCTCTAGACTTATATATAGTCCAATTAAATCTAATACAGCTTTATATATATTTCTGATAACTTATAATTGCTAATTTTAATTTATTTAGGTTATGTATGAAGAGACATTCATGATTTAGAAATATAGTTTGTTTTTATTTTTAGTATATTTTGCAGAATAGAGTGATCATCAAACATTTTTGGTTATCACCACAGACTTTTCACAGTGCGACGGTGCTAACAGACCTCAGGATAGAATCCAGTGTACAAGGGTGTCTGAGTGGATCAGCTGGTTAAAGGGCCCACTCTTGATTTAGGCTAAGGTCATGATCTCAGTGTCCTGGGATCAAGCCCAGCTTTGCTCTGTGATCAGCGGGGAGTCTGCTGGAAGATTCTCTCTCTCCCTATTCCTCTGCCCCTCCCTCGCTCACACGCACATGCATGCTCTCTCTCTCATAAAGAGATAAATCTTAAAAAAAATTTTCCAGTCTTTACAGGTATCTGCTTAGGTCTTAGTGTTGAAAATATTTTAATGAGTTGTCCACACTTCAAAATAAGTACATGATAATCCCCACATTACACTTCTCTCTTAAAAATGGAAGATCTAAAGTAGAAATTTCTACAGAGCAAAAACTAGCTGTCATGGCAAGACAGAGGAAAATATTTTAAAGAAAAAAAAGAGAGGTATGCCTATTTAAACATGTAAAAGTGTATATATCAAATAACTGGGAAAAATATTTTTAAGTAAGTTGATCACAAAGTAATAATATATTTTATACACATATATATATCTTAAATATGTATAATAATATATTTTATATATATATATATGTATATCCTGAAAATCTGTAAATAACCAGTAAGGAAAAGGCAAACACTAAAACTTAAAATTATAAATTATAGGGATATGATATTCCAAAAAATAAGCCCTAATTTTACAACTACATAAAATATTTAGTATTTATAGTAATGAAAGAATTTCAGGCAAAAATAACAAAAATAATTTTCCTTTTGTTGGCAAAGATTAAATACATTTATTTTATTCATTTACGTATCAGCATTAAATATTAACCTATGTTGTACCCACTATTATTAGCAAGAGTATGGCAAAATATACCCTCTCATGAACATGCACTGCTGGTTAAAGCAGAGAACACATAAACTTACTGGAGGGTAATTTTGCAATGTGCAAAAAAAATTTCATGTCCCAAAAAATAAAACCCAAAATTATATCCTTGACCAGTAATTCTACTCAATATTCAAAGATGTTTGCAGTATTTACATATAAGATTTTTCATGTGAAGCATCACTTATAATAGCTAAAACCTGGATATAAACCAAACTTCTAACAATAGAGGATTGATGAAATAATATATAAAGGAATGCAGTGTGGCTATTAAAAGTAGTGTTATAAAAAGGAATTTAATGACATGGGAAAATGCTCATGGCAGTTTGCAAAGTGAAAAAAAAATGTTTTAGGGGACTCTGTATACAATGATTTCATTCTGAAAAATAGTAAATAGATAAGATAGAAGAATAAACATCAAAACGTCACCAGCTATCTCTGGGTAATGTTCATGGGGGAGGAGATATTTACAGATGACTTCCATGTAATTTGCAAACTTTCTACAATGAGCACTTTGTTTTGCTTTTAGACGTTCTTTAAAAAAGAAGAAAGAAAGAATGTAATCATAGAACTTGGGCGATGGAAGATCCTTGAAGTCTATGTCATGTCTCCATTGACAAGGTTGTGTGCCTCTGGGGTTAAGATGACAAACACAACCCAGGCTGCCCACATCCTGTGCGTTCTTTTGCCTGGACTGAGTTGTTGTCTCCACTCTTTATAGTCAGGACTAAGGACATTTCTTTAGTGACTTTCTTTTGAATAATATTCTAAGCAGAAACAAAATACTATGAAATAGCTTCCTGTCACTATTTCCTTTCTTTGAACTAAACTGGAGACTGTGGTCAAGAAAGGGGAATAGTTCTCTTTTGTTTCCTCATCTTCCACTCCCTCCCACCCCAATTAGCTAACTTTCATTATGGTAAATAATTCACTATTTTTCAGTTATATAGTACCTTTGTGTAAAGGGACAGTCTTTCCAAACACTTGTTAATCCTAAAAACACTCTTGGGAAGTAGGTAAAAATTACTAGAGAGAAGGGAGGAGAGAGGGGAATGCCAAAGGTAATAAAAGAGGTCAATAAAACCACACACTTGTCTCAGTTTTCTGTCGGCTGAAATCTATGCAACGCTATAAACTGAGGATCTCTATTATGAGGATAGTGTAGAGAGAAGTGATTTGAGGGGGACAGTTTGAGGGATAAGGTTTTCAGAACTTATACATAGAGACGATGGACTCTGAAAAACAAACTGAGGGTTCTAGGGGGGAGGAGGGTGGGGGGATGGGTTAGCCTGGTGATGGGTATTAAAGAGGGCACGTTCTGCATGGAGCACTGGGTGATATGCACAAACAATGAATCATGGAACACTACATCTAAAACTAATGATGCAATGTATGGTGATTAACATAACAATAAAAATTAATTAAAAAAAAAGAACTCTAGGCAGTTCTTTCCAGAGTGTGAAGTACCAACAGGGGTTGCGGGGTGGGGGGATGGGACTTTGACGTAAGGAGGGGTCAGGTTATAGAAAGCTTTGTGTGACAAGCGTGCCTGGGTGGCTCAGTCAGTTAAGCGTCTGACTCTTAGTTTCAGCTCAGGTCATGATCTCAGGGTCCTGAGAACGAGCCCCTCATTGGGTTCCTCTCTCATTGTGGAGTCTGCTTGTCCTTCTCTCTCTGTTCCACACCCCCCCACTCACGCTCTCTGTCTCTAAAATAAATAAATAAAATCTTAAAAAAAAAACAAAACTTATACGTAGAGTTCAGACCTTTATGTGTAGATCACAGTGTTGTGTAAGAGCACCGATTATGGGGCAAGACTTCTGGATTCAATTTCTGGCTTCACTATTTACTAGATATGTGATACTGGGCAAGCCATTTAATTTTTCTGGCCTCAGTCTTCTCATCTACAAAATGAGGAATAATAATAAAATGTAGCCTGTAATATTGTTATAAGGATTAAACGAGATTATAAAGCATTGGAAGCTGTTCCTGGAACAGGGTAAGTGCTATAAAAGTGTTAGCCATTCTTAGTAATGCTAAAATATACTATTATTTTAAAGTGACAGATTAAAAAGAAGGAGACAGAGAATTGTATTATCCCTACATGATTCAACATCAAACTTTACAGTTTGCAGTGAAAAGAGAAAAGCTCCCCATATCTCTAATCCTGAGCTGGCAGTAGGTGTGCTTAAAGGTTAAAGGTGATTAGTAGCTCCCAAATACAAATGAATTGCAAGAATAGGTTCCATATACTCGGTCCTACATGCTCCAGGATACCACCTCCAGAAAAGTTTATCACCCTTTGCTTTAACTTAATCAGAGGGGCAACTGAGTTACTATATAACCAGATTTAGTGAACATACTGAAATGAGAACACTGTCACAATTAAAACCTCCACTGATGGTTTGACCTTGAGTGTTTATCCCTCATCTACTCCATGGGAACATGGGCATTAGTTTATTGGGTGAAATTTAAACCACCTTTTCCTACTTGCCTCCTTTTTAAACAGTCAATACTGGTAAAACACAAAATATTGAAGTGTTCACGCTGTTTATGTTATGTTTGTACTGTTATTAAAATAATTTTGAAAACTCTCATAACCAATGCATCTTTTTTTTTCCCCACAAGTCCAAAAAAGTATTGAGGATTTGCAGACCCGAGCACCTGCTCAGTTAAGATATTGAACAGGGTGAAGAGATTAGAGACATGGGAGGAAGAAGAATATATTATAGAATAGTTTGATCTTTTTCATTTCAAGTAAAATAAATGTAAAAACTGTTTTCTGTTGCTTTTGATGTTAATACCCTCTGATATATTTCTGTTAACATAAATGTGCTTGAAAAGATAACATTTAATACTGAAAGAAAACAAAATAGGGCATAATCAAAAGTTTCTTTTGTTTTGATCATTTTGTTACTATGTATTAAAAGCTCCATGATAGTAGAAACTGTATCCTTTCATACACATATTTACTTACATATTTAGGTTCTTAATACATATTTGTTGAATAAATAAATACATGAACAAATGGGTGAGCAAACCAGTGGTCTCAAATTCTTAGTTTCCTAAACTTTCCCTCAATTATATGAGGCATCATGTGTCACATTGTTTTATTTTTATCACATTGATAAAGTGAGAATTTTTGTACCTAATTATGCCTTCCTATAACACACACTCTTTGTTGTTTTTAAATATAAAGGCATTGCTCAGCTTAATACCCCTGGGTTACTGTGTTTACAGCAACATTAGAGAATGTTGCAAAAGACGCCTCAAGATATCCACGTTTCTGAAGAGTTTTGAACCTCTTTTCATCTTCAGTTACATTCAGGAAGTAATTTACTTTGCGAAAAAAAAAAGAGAGAGAGAGAGAGAGAGAAAGCAATTCTCCCTATCACCACAGTGCAAGAAGTCAGGGCAGAACACAGAGCATCTGGAGATGAGGAGAAGAGGCAGAAAGAACCACAACACTCTTCAGTCATTTGCTGGAGATAAAACAGACAACGCAATGTGGGGGAGAATGCAGAACAACTTGGACAATGTGAAAGCAATTCAGACAGGATGCCTCCAAAGCAATTAAGTTGGTTGCGTGTATCTATAGGTTTTCTCTGACCCTTAAGGCAGCTTAAACCAGAAGTTTCTATTAGAACCCCATTATTTATCCTTTATAAGTTATTTCATGTAATTATGCTTAAGCGAATTTTAGAGTAAATTATTTCTAGTTCTTATTCCAGAATGTTACGTCATTCATTTGCACCCAATTGTTCTTATTATCTCTATGATGTCGACTCTTGAAATTTTTCTTCTGGATGCTATAAGTTTAATTTTAATCCAAATTAACTTAAATATCAATTATATGTTTGTGATGCTAAAATGCTCATGATTTTATGTGCATTTGCAAAATACAGGCATATAAATGAAAAATATAGAATCCTATATTTTCTGATGATTTATTTTTTTATATTTAAGTGCATTTCTGAGATTTGTGTGAAGAAAATAATGATATCCAGAATTAACACTTTAGAAAGTCTAGTATTTCTAAATTTCTGCAGTCAAATGCTCTACCCCTGAGTTATACCCCCACATACATAGTATTTCTAAATTTCTGAGGATAATGGCATTCCTTTTGGCAAGATAGAAATATTTTATATCTTCTTAATCTTTACACAGAATGTTTATGCAGTCTTAAAAATAATACCCCAATGCCATTAATTCAATAAAAACCAATATAAATATTTATTATCATATCAGTACCAGTTTAACAGAGATATTTTTAAAGTCTCATACTTACATTGGCATCTTTCCCAGCTAATTTACATAATTCCACTCGTTCCTTTGCAGCGGGCCAATAAATCTGTAAAACATTTCAAAGTGTGTCAGAATCTGAATATCTAAAACACCCTACAATTCTAATTAGGAAAATGAGTGTGTTGAATTAAAGAGTGGGTATCAGGCTAAAACTATGTTAGATATGATGTAAGACTTTTGAGATTTAGATATTTTCCAAAGCCACCCTAAAAAAATTTCTAAGAAAAACTATAGAACCACTCATTTGTATATTTCAGTCTTCTAATTTCTTTTTAAATGTATTTAATAATAGATAAATTATGTTGAGAAGTTCATAAATTCTTATCATGATGTTGATAGAATTTCAGAATAGCATTTGCTTAAGCAAGAGATTCTATTTACGCTGTTTTTCTGTACTTACTCAGAGTGGTGGGGCATTATAAATGTGTCCAGGGAAGTGTGTGAAACAGCACTTTGTTACAAGCAAAGTTATCACTCCAAGTCAAAGACCAGTGTGGGTTTGCTGGCAAATTTAACATGTATAGAGCTCAGATGCATCTGTCACTTAAACATTTTTTTATGTATTATCTTATTTAAATCTCACAATGACCCCATGAGATGGCTGTATTTACTCTCCCTATTTTCACTTCAGAAAACTCATCCATACAGCCATTAGGTAACATGTCAAGTAACATGCCACAAACATAGTCACTGGCAAAGCCAAAATATGACCCAAGTCTCTCTGAAGTAAGGGGTCTCAATCACCACATAGTAATTATTATTTGGGCAAATGATTAAGGATAAGGGCGGCAAATCCCTTGGTTGGTAGCTTTTAATCATGTTTTAACTGTCTTGAATTTATCATACAGGTTTTTCTTTTGTTGTTTTTTTTTGTTTTGTTTTGTTTTTCTTTTGTTTTTAACAAAGTTTAGCAACTCTGTCAAGAAGGTTTTGCAAAATAAGATTCAAACAGTTACTTTACTCCATTAGCTTAAAGAAAGAAACGCTCTCTGCTAAGCTACAGGCAAGAAGAAACAAGAGTTAGCTCTGAGTTGCTTATAATATATGTTCCAAGAGTTCCTGACAAACTTTGATTATATTTCTCACCAATGTTAGCAGAAAATGTCTTAATAGGGTGAGGAAAAAGGAAAATATCCTGAGGGAATGCACTGAAAGAGTCTTGTTAAACCTGGAATTCACAAATGACTTAGAAGTCACCAATATTTATATGGATTATCTTCATAGTAAAATTTTAGGGTTTTATGTCTCTGAATAATAGAGACATAGAGAAGAATAGAGAATACCACTCAAACTCTCTTAATAGACAAATTCAATAAAATTACTAAGATTTTTAAATGAAGCAAGGTTGTTCATTCAGAGCACATTTTAACAGGCTGCAAATTATAGTCCAAAGATGTATCTAGGCAGGTTGGTAGAGCCAGCAGTAGGCTCAAGTGATGAGCTAACATTGATGTGGTTCGCAATAAGGACCTAAAGATGCCATTTATTCAAAAATGGCTTAAATCATGGCAATTATACTTTCATACAATTTTGAAAATTTGCCAGCCATAGAATATAAATAGACCACAGCAATAAAAAATAGTATGGGTGGATCTTAGCAATTCGTTATTAGGTAAAAAAGTACAGTCCCCCAAATTACAAACAGAACAATCCCCTCAGAACAATGTTAAAAAAAAAAAAAAAACTAAAATAAAATAGACACTTTTAAGGTATATGAGTAGATGGAATAAGTAAAAAGAAGAACATGAGAGTAATGAATATGGGATTTAGAATGATGGTTGCCCCAGATTGGAAAAAAGAAGGCTTAAATTGTGGTAAGAAACAGTTTTTACTAGATCTTAGCTTTTGTTCTGGGTGGTGCCTTTTTCAGGTATTTGATGCACAAGTTAAAACAACTGAGTAATGCAGATTAGTAAATAAATTAATCAAAATGGGCCATGCATAAGCTGATGGACAATAGTCAATCATCAACCCAGAATCACGAGGTCCTAAATAAATGAAGAGGAAACAGAACACCACAACTGGTGGGAAAGTTGAAAGTTTCTTCCAGTTGCTTTTTTTTTTTAAAGATTTTATTTATTTATTTATTTATTTATTTATTTATTTATTTATTTATTTATTTATTTATTTATTTATTTTTAAAGATTTTATTTATTTATTTGACAGAGAGAGACACAGTGAAAGAGGGAACACAAGCAGGGTGAGTGGGAGAGGGAGAAGCAGGCTTCCCGCAGAGCAGGGAGCCCGATGCGGGGCTCGATCCCCGGACTCTGGGATTATGACCTGAGCCGAAGGCAGACGCTTAACGACTGAGCCACCCAGGCGCCCCAAGATTTTCTTTATCTATTCATGAGAGACAGAGAGAGAGGCAGAGGCAGAGGCAGAAGCAGGCTCCCTGCGGAGCAGGGAAGCCCAATGCGGGACTCGATCCCAGGACCCTGGGATCATGAACTGAGCTGAAGGCAGAGGCTTAACCGACTGAGCCACCCAGGCGTCCCTCTTCCAGTTGCTTTTTAATTGTTTGTTTGCTTATTTTTAACCATTAGTAGCAAAAACACTGAAGCCAGTGTGTTCTTTTTCTCTCCTATAAAAATGTCTGTCATCTTGAATTCATGGTAGTTTGCTTCTGATTTGGGTTTGTGTACTCAAGGCACCCTCTCTCAAGGTATTTTTTTTTTCTTGATGATTCATTTTTATTATTATTTTTAATTGTGATAAAGTAGACATAACATAAAATTTACCATCTTAGGCATTTTTATAGTTCAATATTGTCAAGTATATTCACTTTGTGCCACCAATCTCCAGAATTCTTTCATCATGCAAAACTCTAACTCTATACTTGCTGATTCTTGAATATTATAGTGATTTTACAAAGGACAACCTTGTATCACTGGACTGAAAATGAAGGGTATGCAGAATACATATCCATGATCTGTCAGTGGGTTTAACTTTTAGCTCATTTTACTTGGTCTCTAGTCTAGATTAATACTTCTTTGAGTCTTTTCAATATGTCAGATGCTATTCTTTTCTGTTTTTTATGACAATAAGTTTCAATCACATTTCAGAAATAAATTTAGAACAAATAGTTATAGATATTTGTTCTGATCTAAATACCTTATTGGTATGAATTCTATAAAAAAAGAAAAAGAAAATACAGAATTCTTCTATATTAAGTAAATAAGATTTAAAGAGGAGGAAGATTATTACAGGGTTCTATTTTTTTTTTTTTTTTTACCTTGAACCAGCTTATTGGGTGATGAGTTAAAGCAAATCATGAGCTAAATGTTTCTAAAATTGATTTTCAATACATTTGTAGAGGCTTCAGAAAGGAGGGAGTTACTTAAAGAGTGATGAAACGTGGAAGCAATTTTTATGTCTTCTTTGAAATCTAAATGAAAGTTCCAAAGTTAGCACAGAGTAGGTATTGTTCATTAGTTATTTGTTCATTACACACATAATTTACAAAGGGCTCTCTGTATGTCTGGCAAGGTGTGGCACTGAAGGTAGTTCTGTAAAGAGATAAGATAACTGCATATCTCCAGGAGATACGAACTGAGCAGAGAGCTCAGAAGACAGAGCCACAGTGCTCAGGGAGCACTAAAGGGCCCCGAGCGGCTGACCAACATACAGAGCCCGACTTTCCACTGTTTTCAATTATTTGCTCTTAATAGTTTCGACTCTAATTTTTTCTTAAGAACTTAACACTAAAAATAGTAGTTGCAGATTCCTTTCTTCTCTTTGCAAAGGAATACAAATCTCTAAAACATGTTTTAATGGTTTTGTTCTACATTTTCAGCTATTAATTGTAAATCATATAATTCTAAGTTGAATTGATTGTTCAGTCACATTACTGTAAAGTGAAGCGTGTCATCGTAGTTAATGTAGCAATAAAACTAAAATTACAAGCATCAGAGAATCAGGTTTTTGATTAGTGGGTAAGTGTTCTGAAAAGATACCCAAGCACTGAGAATTTGTTGAGCACCAGAAACCAATTTTAATAAATCTTCTAATCTCTGTTTATAGAGGATATTTTTTCCCCAAAATGTTATCTCACTTTTCATCATTTATCTTCAATACCATAATGTCTAGACCCTGTTAAAAATAGAAATTATCCTTTAATCATTATTATCGTACAGTAATTCTAAGATAGTATCACAAAGATAATTTAACTTCTTAAGATAACATAAGCCTTCAAAATAAAGATTCATTAAGATTATACACTGGCTTATTTTGACACAATGCTGTCAAGAATTCAGGAATCACAAATAGAATTACCTTAATAACAACAACCTAGGAGATACCTGATTATCTTCCAGACCTGAAACATTTACTTAAAAGGGGGAAAAAAAGAATCATTGTAGTTGTACCAATATTTAAAAGCTATCATTTTAACTATGATTTAGAGTGGGATTTTCTTTTACTTACCACCTAGTCATTAGAATAAAGCGTCTTTTAAAAAATACTCCTTTTAATTCTTTGTTGGTAAAGAATTTAAAGAAGCAAAATTTCACTTAATTCAATCTAAAAATATAATCAAGCAAAACAATAAGTAAAAACAACAAAAAACCTCGTACTTATAGGGGTTGGCAGAAATATGTTCAAGTGATAGTTTTGTTTTTCAATGTTTTGAAGTGGCATATATGTGACATATAAATCACTATCTCTGTCTCTCTCTATAAAAGTTTTCCACCATTTTCATGTTTTTCTACTCAAATTGTGTGAGCACGTGTGTGCATATATGCACATGTGCATGGTGTGTATGTATGTGCATATATGTGTACCTTTGCAAAGATGATACAAATATTCAATCCATATTATTAGGGTTTTTTTTATTTTTTTAAGCTTTTATTTATTTATTTGGAGAGAGAGAGAGATGGAGAGAGAGAGCATAAACTGGGGGAGGAGCGGAGGGGCAAGCAGACTCCCTGCTCGGCAGGGAGCCCGTTGTGGGGTTTGATCCCAGGGCCCTGAGATCATGACCTAAGCCAAAGTCAGAGGATTAACCGACTGAGCCACCCAGGTGCCCTCCATATTGTTTTTAAAAAA